CCCTTGCTTTCACTTGCGGTGAAGTTCAGGTGGCCATCGGGAAGGCGAAAGCTTCCAAAGCCATGGGTCCCGACGGAATATGCATGCTGATCCTGAAAAATTTTGGTCCTGCGGGGGAAGCGTACCTAACGGAGGTCCTCAATTTGCCTTTGGCCGCTCTCATCATCCCAGACATCTGGAACGTGGGGAGAGTGGTCCCACTGCTCAAACCGGGGAAACCTGCCAACATAAGAGATTCTTATCGTCCGATAACACTCCTTTCCCCGGTAGCGAAGACACTCGAGGCCTTGCTACTCCCGTATTTCACAAACCACTTGACCCCAGCGAAGCATCAGCATGGTTTCCGTAAAGTGCGCAGTACAACAACAGCACTTAACGGCATAAACACTCAGATAACTCGTGGCCTTAACCGAAACCATCCGTGTGAGAGAACGATTCTAGTAGCGTTGGACTTGTCAAAGGCCTTTAACACCGACTGCCTTTCCACGCTACTAGATACATAGATAGATATTAATATGAGGTGTGCAATGCGACCTAGTGATCTATTGTGCCCTCTTCTCTTCACATCACTTCATCTAAGCCCAGCTCCCTCCGAAAGTTCAATAGTGCCTTTGGGGGTAGGGAGTGGATGTACTCAAGCTGTGGCCACAACGAGCCTAAAGTCCTCTCACGTCTTCTGCAGACAGCCTCACATTCGGTGAGAATGTGAAGCGGCGTCTCACTGGTCAGGTCGCAGAACCTACAAAGATCATTCGACCATATGCCCAGCTTATGTAGGTGACCCCTCAGTCTGCAGTGTCCTGTAAGGAATCCTGTTAAAATTCTAAGCCTCTCTTTTGGGAGGTTTATTAAGCCCTGAAATCTTTTCTTGTTAAACCCTCCAAGTAAAATCTTTGCCTGGCGTATTCCTACCGAACTGCGCCAGTTAAAGTTCCTTAGTGTGAGCCTCTCTCTCCTAAGCTCCTTTTTTATGGCATTGGGACCCACTACCAGGAAGGCCTCTGGGCCAACTGGAGTGATGGCTGCCGCCTCTCTAGCGAGGCAGTCTGCAACCTCATTTCCCTCTACTCCCCTGTGGCTGGGTACCCACGCTAACCTGATGTTATTGTGCCGGCCAAGGAAGTTTAACTTCTCAATGCACTCAAGGACCAGTGAGGATTTGACTTCATAAGATAGAAGAGCCTTGAGTGCCGCCTGACTATCACTCAACATTATAATTTTCTTATTTCTATACCCTCTACTCATTATTGTTTCCGCACATAGATAGATTGCATAGACTTCTGCTTGGAAGATGCTCGGGTATTTCCCCAAGTGAACAGAGATTCTTGTTCTGGGCCCAAGGTCTCCTGCCCCTACTCCATCTGGGGTCTTCGAGCCGTCTGTGAACCAGTGCAGTGTGCACTCCTGTAGTAATACCTCGAATTCAGGGGCGCTCCAGGTTGCTTTGCTGCATAACTCCATCTTAAATATCTTCTCAAATACTATTGTTTTTCCTATGTCATCTCTAGGGAACAGAGCAAGCGGGATCGAGGCCCCTAGCTTCTCCATATTCCTAGAGGATATGACCTTACCTCTGCCACATCGCTCTCTAGCAAAGCTGAGCAGAGTTCTTTTGGCTGCCTGCTCTATGGTTATGTGAAGAGGCTCGAGTTCAGGGATTACTTCCAGCGCCGTCGTCGGACATGTGCGCATTGCTCCTGTTATGCATACACAAGCCAGTCGCTGTAGCTTGGTGAGTGATTGTCTCACCGTGGCCAGAGTAGTTCTTGAAACCCAAGCCACCGCCCCATAGGTAATCATTTGCTGTACTATCATGATGTAGAGCCATCTTAGGGTCCTGGGGCTACAACCCCAGAATTTTCCTGCTAAACGCTTACACACCATTAACGCTTTCGTGGCCTTGGAGGTGATCGCGTCCACATGCTTCTTCCATAGAAGTTTGGTGTCCAGGATTATTCCCAGATACTTCACTTCGCTGGTGACGCCGACCACGACCCCCTCCAGGGTTATGTCCCTCATGCCCAACAGGGCTCTTTTCCTGGTAAATGGGATGATGGCGGTTTTGACCGGATTGATACTAAGGCTNGCTGCATAACTCCATCTTAAATATCTTCTCAAATACTATTGTTTTTCCTATGTCATCTCTAGGGAACAGAGCAAGCGGGATCGAGGCCCCTAGCTTCTCCATATTCCTAGAGGATATGACCTTACCTCTGCCACATCGCTCTCTAGCAAAGCTGAGCAGAGTTCTTTTGGCTGCCTGCTCTATGGTTATGTGAAGAGGCTCGAGTTCAGGGATTACTTCCAGCGCCGTCGTCGGACATGTGCGCATTGCTCCTGTTATGCATACACAAGCCAGTCGCTGTAGCTTGGTGAGTGATTGTCTCACCGTGGCCAGAGTAGTTCTTGAAACCCAAGCCACCGCCCCATAGGTAATCATTTGCTGTACTATCATGATGTAGAGCCATCTTAGGGTCCTGGGGCTACAACCCCAGAATTTTCCTGCTAAACGCTTACACACCATTAACGCTTTCGTGGCCTTGGAGGTGATCGCGTCCACATGCTTCTTCCATAGAAGTTTGGTGTCCAGGATTATTCCCAGATACTTCACTTCGCTGGTGACGCCGACCACGACCCCCTCCAGGGTTATGTCCCTCATGCCCAACAGGGCTCTTTTCCTGGTAAATGGGATGATGGCGGTTTTGACCGGATTGATACTAAGGCTTAACTTAGCACACCATCTATTTGTTAATCTTAAGCCTCTTTGAATAATGTCGCAGAGGGTGCTCTCAAACTTCCCCCTGGCAATGATCACTATGTCATCCGCATAGCCTTGGCAGCGGATATCATTGTCTGAGAGAAGCTGCAGGAGTTCATCCACCACTAAGCACCACAGAAGAGGGGATAGAACCCCTCCCTGTGGGAAGCCCTTTGTTGTTAATAGCTGTACCATGCTGTCCCCCACCTTGGTTTCAGCAATCCTAGTATGCAACAGCGTATCCACCCAGTTGCAGATCACTGGCTGCACGTTTCTCTTCTCTAGTGCCCTGCGCACACCCGTGTGAGACGTATTGTCGAACGCTCCTTCTATATCGAGGAAAGCGCAGAGCACTGTTTCTCCGCATTCCAAAGCCCCCTGAATTTCGGTTGTCAGTTGATACAGGGCTGTGTCCGTGGATCTTCCAGATCTGTACGCATGCTGACAAACGTGTAGGGGTTTTACCTTCAGAATGTTAGATCTTATGTAATTGTCCACTATCTTTTCCATTGCTTTTAGCACAAAGGAGGTAAGGCTTATAGGTCTGAAAGACTTTGCTAGCGAGTAGTCCCTATTTCCCACCTTCGGGATAAAGATTACTCGCGCCCTCCGCCACACTTGTGGGACATAGGCCTTCGCAAGGCTGCTCCTCATTATGTCCGCTGGACGGATGCTATCTACCCCAGGGGCCTTATAACGGTCGAACGATCCCAGCGCCCACCTGACTGAATTCTGGGTGAAGATACTTCTCGCCAGTTTCCAGTCACCTGGTCGCGGTCTAGTTCGCCGGACCTCCGGCCCCTGTTCTAAGATAGTGGACTCCGGGAAGTGAGCCGCAAGCAGAGTGGTTGCCCTCTCATCTAAGCTGTTTGTATAGGTGGCATCCGGACGCTTTATTGCTAATTCCGATTCCACCGTTCCTCTGGCAAGAGCCTTGTGTAACCTCGCGACCGCTGGAGAGTTCGAGATGCCTTCACAGAAGGTCCTGAAGCTTTCTCTCTTGGCCTTCCTGATCTCCTTGCTGTAGCTAGTTAGTTTAGCTGAGTATTCCTCCCAGCATCCCGTACGCTTGGCTTTGTTGAATAGCCTGGGCACCTCCTTCCGGAGAGCTGAGAGTTCCCGAGACCACCACGCAGTTCTGGCCTTCTCTTTCGACTTGGTCTCCGGGCAGCTAGAGTTAAAGGCGTCGGTCAGTATGTCCGTCAACCTATTAACCCTGTATTCTAGCGACATACAGCCATCTCTTCTATGTTGCCTCTCTATACCGGGTAGGTTAAAATCTAATAGTTTCCTATATTTTTCCCAGTCTGCATTCCTGGGGTTCCTCACAGGAGGACTTACCGTGGCCTCCGCTCCGAGCACGAATTGGATAATACTATGATCCGACAACGAAGGCTCCGTGGACACTCTCCATTGCGTTATCAGATCATTACCCAAGCTGTTGCTCAGAGTGAGGTCAAGGACCCCCTGTCTAGATCTGGTGACAAACGTTGGACAATGTCCAACATTGTTTATACACATATCTTCGCTTAATAGGTACTCCAATAAGCACTCACCCCTTTTAATGGTGTTGGTGCTCCCCCACTCCACGTGGTGCGCATTTGCGTCGGATGCGAGGATAAGAATAAGTTGGGTCTTCCGGCAATGCGCCACCAATAGTTGTACCTCTGCCGGGGGTATGGTGTTGCTGTGCCCGGGGAAATATGCAGCAGCGAAGAATAATTCCACGGGCCTCACATCCACCCGAAGCGTCACCTGCACTGCTACCAAATCTTGCGTTAAAAACTCTGTAATGCAGAAATAACTAATATCGTTTCTAAGCACTACGCATGCTCTGGGCCTCTCTGCGGCGAGTTCGAATATTACCTTGTTATTTGCTCCTTTGAGGCCCCTTACCTGGCCTCTGTAAGTCCACGGCTCCTGAATGAGTATAATGCCCAGGTCGTCCGTAGAAAACCTGCTGGCAATCGCGGCCGAGGCTGCAATTGCATGGTGCCGGGTGATCTGGGCAACTCTCAGGGGCGGTGGGTACCTCATTGCTCATCGAGGTCCGAGAGCCTTAGGTCGCTCTCGCTTTTCCCGTCGAGCTCAAGCCTTCTCAGGTCTAGTCCCTCCATCAGCTCCTGCGTTGAGGGGACCTACCTCTGTGCAAGAGCCGCTGATACTAGCTGGTTGGAGCCTAGCGGATTAGAAGTTTGGGCTGAAGGTGCGGGCTGGCGAACCTGTGCGTCCTCTACCGCTGCAGCTGTTGTAGCTGTTGAAGCGGGGGGGACTTCGTCCACCTGCATAATTCCCTCGTCAGCTACCTTCTCTTCTTCCGCTGCCTCTCGTCGCCAGGGCCTCATTGTAACATAGCTGAACCTGAAGTTCACCTTATACTCAGCCCTCCTGACGCTAAGGAAGGAGTCCTCATCTATGCCCACGTTTAGCCGCAGGCCAGCATCCTCAATGCTGCTCGAGATGACGCAATACGCTGGTGTGTTAAAACCTAAGTTTTGCGCCCTTAGCAGCCCCATCACATAATCTGCCGATCTGTCGGCACTTCTCGACAGGAAGATAGTCATATTATGCATGGGTGGTATTTCATCACCCCTTTTGACCCATAGTGTAACTTCCTTCCAGCTCCCTAGTTTTGGTGCAAACTCTTCCAGCCATTTTGCTGTACCCTCATCCTTGCAGTCCACAAGGAGCATACCTGGACGGAAGTAAACTCCGCAGAAGGCCAGCGGGTGCTTCCACCCTTTGAAGACCTCGTCCATTATGGCGTCCTGCAGGGTAGTCAACTCATCCGGACTCAGCGCCTCCGCGGGATAGTTTCTAGGCAGCACCGCCACCCTGATGACCCTTAGCGCGTCAGAGTAGCTGTGCGTCAGCCCTTCACCGCCCCACGCAGACGTTGGGCCCCAGTGCCTACCCCCGGGTCCCGATGCCGGAGGGGGGGGAAACTCACGCTGCTTCTTTGAAGCCAGATTCTGGGGGGTTAATTGCCCGCTCTTCCGCTTTGTAGCGGGTGCGGTCTCACTGGAACCACTTACCACTTTCCTCTGGTCTCCGTGCTTCTCATCTCGACTACAATGCCCGCTCTTACGCTTTCCAGCGGGTGCGGTCTGACTGCCGGATGCCTCTCCACCCTGCTGCTGGTGCTGCCAGCTCTTCCGCTCATTTGCGGGTGCGGTCGTTTTGCCCTCGCGGTCATTGCCGCGCCTGCTCGACTCCTGCTGGGATGATCTGGCGAGAGCCAGTCTCCTGGCTACCTCGGGAGTTTTGCCCTGCTCTAGGTACCTAATATAGTGCCTCGTTTGGGAGCCGCTGAGGCCCTATCGCCTACGGTCGTCTAGGGTGACAGGTTGCCCTCGACCCGGAGCTGTATGCGGATTTGCCCGCCTATCCATATGGCGGTCTCTGTCCGGCCGCATGGACTCACGCGAAGTTGTCGAGCCGGACTGGCTTGGAGACCTGTGGCGCTCGCGTGACGAATCGCTGTGGTGCCTACCCCTGTACCTCTTGTCTTCTTCAGAGTCCCTCAACGCCTTTTCGTGGAAGATACCACTGCTCGTGGAGGGCTCATCATCATCCCTCTCGTGCTCAATGAAGAGCGCTGCATCGGCATCGGAAAGGCCCTCTAGGAAGCTCTTCCTCCGTTCCTCTTTGCTCTTTTTTGGCTTAGTTTGAGCCAGAGAACCTTTGTCGTGCCTTGTACCTGTTTGTGTTTGTTCCTCTTTATTATTGCTTGTTTGTTGTTGTGGTTGTTGTTGTTTTTGGTTGTTGGTTTGTTTGTTTGTTGTCTTCATCTTTCTCTTACGATTGCGTGCCTGACTAGCCAAGTGTAGCAGTCTATATGCTTGATGGCGATCTCGAACGTCCGCCGCGCCAGCGCCCTTTGTCGCGGTAAGGCCACCGTTACCCTCCTGGCTGCAAACCGTCCAATAGGCATGGTGTCGCGTCACACCCTGGATAAGGAGGCGGCAGTTCTTGGTCGCTGTCCGCCAGCAGCCCTAAGCTGGGAAAGGGGCAGCGCAGCAGCTGCAAGAGCGGCTGCGTTGCACCAGTCAGTCCAGGGAAAGTCTGACTGGAGATTCAGCTAAGCCCCCGCACCAACGACAAGGTGCCTGCCCTAGCGAGGGCACGCTACTAGAAGATTTAGAGGCTTCTTCTCTCCCACAGAGGCTAAAACGGTGGTCGGCAAATTAGTTGAGTGGTCGACACTCGTCGGTAATGTTTAGAGACAAATCGAGTAAACTTAGAAAAATAAAACAGGGGGTTCCACAGGGTGGTGTCTTTTCCCCGCTACTGTTTAACTTTTACATTTGAAAGCTCCCTCAACTACCAGAGGGAGTCTCGATTGTCTCTTACGCCGACGACTGCTCGATCATGACGACTGGGAATGGAATTGGTGACCTGTGTTCGAAAGTAAACGGGTATCTCTCCAAACTTTCTCGCTTCTTCACTGCAAAGTGTCTAGCCCTCTCCCCTACGAAATCCTCTGCGACCCTGTCCACAACCTGGACGAAGAAGGTCAGGCTACCGCTAGGAACTCACGTCGATGACACACCAATTCCGACGGTGAATAACCCCAAAATACTCGGAGTAACATTCGACAGGCTGCTCTCCTTACCTGCGCACGCAACCGCTATTGTCAATAAAGTACAGAGCCGCAACAAGGTCCTCCAGTCGCTAGCGGGCAGTACTTGGGGCAAAGACAAAGAAACTTTGCTGGCAACATACAAGGCAATAGGCCGGCCGGTTTTAAACTACGCAGCGCCAGTGTGGTCGCCGGGGACCAGTAGGACGCAGTGGACGAAGCTACAGACCGTACAGAACACCGCACTCAGGACAGCGACTGGATGCATCCTGATGTCGCCCGAACATCATCTCCACAACGAGGCACAAATGCTCCC